AACCACTGGCTGGTTACAGCGACTGGTCATTAGTGACCTAGAGGTTTTCCTCTCTTTCAGACCCCTCTTTCCCTGAATGGCCTCTGAGCAGGGACAGGATCCCCAGAGCCATAATGATGGTCACCATTAGCCATTCCATGTATCGGGTTCCTACCCTTATGTGTGTTAGGTTTGCATTTCACAGTAGTGAAACATTCAGGCTTGAAGCTAAGTGATGTTCTCTGCACAGACTCAGTGAAGGCTCCCTGTGTGTATGAGGCATTGCTCACTGCCTGTGCTATCACCTTCCCCACTGGCACCCTCCCCTTCAAATTCCTGTCTAATGGGAGCTCAGACTGGAATGGAACTCTGGTTACTGAGCTGGAAAAGCACTGCTTTGTTAATCACATTGAGCCAGGCTGTGCTAGCGATTTCAGGGTCGATCCCACACTGGCCCCCAACCTATCTACAGAAGTCACTGCAAGGGGAGGTAAGTTCCCCAGGCTCGAGCCTAGTCCCTGCGCACTTTTAGGATTAAGAAAGGAAGCTATAAACTCAAAGATCATCGCTGAGAAAGGGGAACAGCATCCCTGTAACTTTCAAAGGCCAGAAGTGCATATGATTATTAGGCAATCCCCAGTCTCCTACTCCCCACTCCCCTGCAGCGAAGTGTTAAAACAAGTCAAGGTACAAAACAGCCCTGTCTGTTTAGCTGCTGACAATCCACACAGAGCTCTCCCCTCTGGGCTCAAGAATGCAGTCTGTTTTCAATTACCTTCCCTTACCCTCTGCTTTGCACAACTCCTCCACCTAACAGTTGCTAGGAGACCAGTTATGATTTCATGGTATCTCTGTCTCTGCAGTTTGTGGGACATGTTTGTACATTGTCTTTGGAGGGAGAGAGAGAGCTGCTGCTTTCACAGAGCACTGGAAGGCTCAGCTTGACACCCTATAAATAGCATGCGCAGATAGATTAGAACAGAGAGCTGGTTAAAATGATTTTGCATTGAAAAATGCAGTTTCATTTAAATGTGTAGTAAAAACAGTTCAATTTCAACTATATTTTCAGTATTTCAGTGAAAAATATTCAAACCAAAACTAAATAAAATCTGTAATTTAGCTTTTCATGTAAATTTTCATTTCAATTTGTTTTTTGAAAAACAAAACAACAAACAAACATTTCAATTTGAAATGAGACGAACATTTTCATTTAATTTTTTTGTTGAAAAATCAAAATTATCTGGAAGATTTTATTAACAAAATTTTCACCGCAATAAAATAGGATTTTTTTAAAAACCAACGCTAATAGATGAATGTATTGTCTTTGAGCTAGCAATGTTGTTGGAATGAGAGCTCTTTGGTTCCCTCTACAGGTGAAGTGGGAGAATTGAGCAAACTGGAAGAAGCCAATATCAGTGGGCTGGAGTAAATCTACAGCAAAGCAGACCTGCTGCATTAATTTGAGTTAGATGGGGATGGATTTAAGGGTGAGGCACTGCTGGTGCTTTGCTGTGAACCAGAATTGTGGGTAGTTGAGCACAACCCAGATGATCAATTAGTTTGGTGATTGATTTGTTTGGTTACCCAAAATAACACTGGTTGTGTTCCCCATTTACCAAGACTGCATGTGTGTGTGCAAAGGGAAGAAAAACAACATTAATGGTGACTAGGGTAATTATATTTGAACTTCCAAGAGTGGTACATGTGAGTACGGTTGTAGATGGGGCTCAAATGTTTTATTTATTTAAAAGGAACTTTTAAATCTGACCCTTGCTACTAGGGTGACCAGATGTCCCGATTTTATAGGGACAGTCCCGATTTTTGGGTCTTTTTCTTATATAGGCTCCTATTACCCCCCACCCCCGTCTCGATTTTTCACACTTGCTGTCTGGTCACCCTACTTGCTACTGAGATTGTCCATTCACAGGGAGCTGATCTGAATTCTCACGATTCACTCCTACTGCAGTTAACCTCTCTATACCCACCCACATTGATAATTCATCTCCATTCTGGTCTCTCAGCATCCTTGGTTAATCTATTCCTAGCCACCCTCCTTCCCTGGACATGCACTCCTCCTACCTTCCCTGGACATGCACTCCTCCTACATCCCTTTCAATACAATACATCAAAAAACCCTTTCATATAATAGTAGTAGAAGGGCTAATAATCCAATTTTACCATTTATCTCATAGGGTGCTGTATATTTGATTAATTCAGATATTTTATAATGTGTATTTTTGGCCTGATCCTGAAGCACATTGAGTCCTCTCTACTCCCACTGACTTCATTTGGAGTTGAGGATACTCAGCATCTCACAGCATTGGGCCCTTGTAAATGGGAATGATTTGTGCTCGCAGAAATGTACGGATCTGTCTGTGGGTTTTGTTAGCAGCAGCTCAGTCACTGGAGGCGGAGTTCCCAGAAGAGCAGACAAAAGCCAGAGCCCTTCCTGTCAATAGATAAGAGGAAGAACCCAAATGGAAAATTGAGGCTTTCTGTCTAGTCTACTTAGACTGAGCTCATCTCTGTGGCATGTGAGTTAGTACAGTGAGGGCCTGAGCCAAAGTCCATAGAAATCAGTTGGCGTCTTTCCATTCACTTCACTGGGTTTTAGATTAGTTCTATTTTGGGGGGGGAAATGGATTCCCTGACAGTGGCAAAGTGGATGATTGTCAGTCTCCCCATCAAGGTGATTCCTCAGTGGCTGGTGGTTATAGCGGCTGTGTTCAGTCCTGACCCCGGGCGATGGAAGGGATATGGCGTACAGTGGCTCAGTTACTGACTGTTACAGTGGGATGGCTGATCAGCAGCATACATGAAATGAGTTAGTTGGGGCTTGTTCCGTGGCCAGCAGACTGATGGCCACGCCACAGACCACTATTACAACTGTCATTAATTATCCCCCTTTTTAACACTCTCCATAGAAAGAGCAGGGAGGGAATGGGGGATGCAGAATGACCTGTTCTTTAACCCCTGAAGGTGTAATGTCCAGGTCATTGCTGGGGAACACACATGGTGTCATGGGGAAATTGTATGGTCAGTTCTGGTATGGTACTAATTCTGTAGATTAACAATAGGTCTTCGGTCACCCAGCTTGTTAATCTGGCACTTTTCACCACCACTAAATTCACTTACATACATGGCTCGTAGCCCTCATCCCCTGTAATTAGAACTCAGGTGACAATATGCTCATGAGTCAAGTCATAGTCCTTATCTGTAAGGGGCAGGGACTTTCATTTACTAAATGTTTGCATCGGGCTCAGCACAATGGGGCTGAAGCCTGTCTGGTTTCTAGGCACTACCACACTATAAATGTAAAATAATAAAAGCAGGTGTGATGTTGCACTCCATATTCTTTGTGGAAATATGCTTATGAATATGAATATGACATAACTGGAATATGCTTTATGCAAAATGCTTCATGTAACATATAATTGGAAAGGTTATAATTTACTGAATGTGTTTATCCTATTTGTATGCATGTATAATTTCTGTAGCTGAAATTAGGAATATTGACCTGTGTATCTGTATTTCATATTTGCTGCTTTGGGTCTCTCCCACTGCTAACACTTCAGGTACAATAATGGAAAAGCCAGACAGTGCTAATGACTCATCAGCTAGTACAACAGGCTGTGAAAACATTTTGGCTTACCTTCCTGCCGATGTTCCATGCTGCTAACTCATGGACTCCGGGATACTACAGTCACATGGTCTGGTCACCTGATACTGAACACCACCTGGGACTTTTTGTAACTTTCGGAGTGAAGGGAGGGGGTCATGTTTGGGAGACAAAGGATTCCTGCCTTATGCTAATCCTATTTAAGGGAGAGGAATGAGGTAATCCTGGTCATCAGTGCTCCCCGGCTACCCCACCCAAGATGACGGCTGGAAACAACTAAAGACTGAACTGGGGACAAGTCCTGGACCCAGACTGGAAGGGTATCCAGTCTGTGCAAAGATTCTTGGAACAACTGTGAGGGTGAGATACTACATGTAACAAGTTTCCTTAGTGTATTAAGCTTAGTTTGCATGGTCTGTTTTATTTTGCTTAGTAACCTACTTTGTTCTGTCTGTTTATGACCACTTAAATCCTACTTTTTATACTTAATAAAATCACTTTTGCTTATTAATAAACCCAGTGTAAGTAATTGTTACCGGGGGGTGGGGGTGGGGGTTGGCAAGGAGTCTGTGCATATGTCTGTTTACTTTGAGAAAGGGCAAATTCTTATGAGCTTATGCTGCATAGTTTTCTATGCAGCATAAGACACATTTATCTAGGATTCAGGCTCCCAGAAGGGCTGTGCACTTGGGTGCTGAGGCAAATCCCTTTAGCTGAGCTTTTCCAGAGCTGATCTGATCTCAGCATCTGTATTCTGCAGAGGGGTGTGGCCCTATCTCTGGGTCTGTGCTGGAGGGCCTGGCTCAGCAAGACAGACTTAAGGGTGCCCATACAGGAAGAAAGGTAGGCTCAGTGGTATCTCAGCACATCAAGTGACAGTCCCCAAGGGGTCCCCAACTGAACCCATCACAGCAGGTTCCTCAGGATTTAGTCATAGGATATTTCTTTGATTGTTAATCAGCTGCTTGTTCAGTATGAGATGGAGAGTACAAGGAAAATAACATAAGGAAGGAGATCAGAGTGGTTGTACACATATTGATCAGTCTCTATTAAGCTGCTGTGATCTGTTGTTGCCTCTGTTCCTCTGTGGAAAGACTCTGTAAAATGATGTTATTCCACGGCTATGCTAAGACTTCAATGGGGACATAGAGCACCAGGCACATTTGAGAGCGCTCCAGACAGTGCTCTCTCGCAGCCCTGCTCTGAAGTCAGCCCCACAGCCAGCTGCAGCGCAGAAGTAAGGGTGGCAAGCCAGTAAACATGCACACTGCTATTATGGCACACCGGGAATCACAGTTCTACAAGAATCGATGTTAGAAAAAGGACGAGCAAGGAAAAATCATGGACATTTGTTATTTCAAAAATCTGCCTGGATGGAGACCGGAGGACCAAAAAAGAGGTCATGTCTGGGAAAACCCAGATGTATGGTAACCTTACAGAAATACTACATAGAACCAGATATGAAAGTATCAATAGCCTCGTAGAAAGATGTGTGCACAGGAAATGGGTGCCTTCCAGTAACACAAGATACAATTAAGAGCAGATGTAGAAGCCTGTGGTAGATGGTAAAGAAAAAGTTCCACAAGACTTAAGAAGCTAGAAGACACATAACAGCAAATGGTATAATTTGGCATATAGAAGAGCCACCACACGTGGTTCACTCCTTAATAACTGTAGAGAAGAAATGTCAGGGACTACATCTGTGTATGGACCCCCAAGGAACTGAACAAAACCATAAAAAGAAAACGCTTCCACTTGCTCTCAAGAAGTGAACTATTGTCTGAGAAGGCCTGAGCAAAATTCTCCAGCAAATTAGATGCATTGGCAGGATTTTGGCAGATCCCTTTAGATACTGAGAGCACCAAGATCTGCACTTTCTGCACGTGATTTGGTATTTCTAAGACTTCCGTTTGGAATACGTTCAGCCTCAGAAGTGTTTCACTATAGAATAGCCAGATGTGAGGAGATCTAGCAGGCATGAAAGTGAGCACTGACAACATCATAAATTGGGGGCAGTACTGCCACTGAACATCAGGCATGACTGAGGGGAGTATTAGAAATTGTAAGAGCTGATGACCTTAAACTGTGTAAGGCCAATTGTCAACTTCAAACAACATGCTTGGGAGACAGACTGGCCTGAAAGGGTCTGATGCATCAAAGATTCAGGCAATACTGAACATGCCAAGACCTGAAGATAAAGAGGAAATTCAAAGGCTGCTAGGCATGTTGAAGTTCATACCTAACTACACAGCTCGCACAACTCACCTAAGACATCCCCTCCAGAGGGCACTGAATGGGCATGGAGGCCAGAGCATGAAAAAGAGTTGAGCAATTTAAAGCACTTTCTGATATCCGTTCCAGTGCTGTAATTTTTTGACCCATGGAAAGACATCAAGCTCTCCACAGATGCCTCAGAAGGAGGGCTGGCACTGTCAGCAGGACTATTATGGTGCCAGTCTAATGCAGTTAGGGTGGTGACTGCTGCAGAGATAATGTATGCACAGACTGAAAAAATGATTAGGTCAGGAATAACGGATGTACAAGATTTTTACCACTTGCTGACCATTGCTTCAAAGCAGAAACTGATCACAAACCACTGATTACAACACACAAAAAGGGACTTGGCAAAGCACTGCTGAAGATAGTGACTACATTTGAGAATATGGAATCTCAAAAGCATAATAAGATACATTTGCGAGCTCTGCCATTTGCTGTGGAGTCAAGGGCCATCTAAGGTGACTGTATATGTTTATCCTCTCGGATCTGGGGGCAGGTTCATACTTTCTTGTACCGACAGACTGGCACATCTGACTGTCAAGCAGTCAGGTCACTAGAAAGTAATTCTGCTTTTACACTCGAGGCCACAGTTGTTGTTTTGCATGACAGTGCATATTCGATGAAGTTGGGGTATGTATTACTTTACAGAATCTGTTGGAGATGGGAGTGCCCATGGAGTATTGTGCCCCATAACTGTGGGAAATGTTAAATTAGTAAGAGGTACATTTATAACTATTGTGTTCACTTTATCTCAACTTCCTTCCTATAGACTGTAAGTCCTCTGGGGCAGAGATTGTCTCTTTTCTAAGGCTGAAATTCAGCAACATACTTAATTGGTACTTAAAATGTAGCATATACTTTATGTTTAGTCACACGTATAGCCTGATTGGCTTCAGTGGGACTATTTGTATGGTTTAAGTTAAGCAGGTGCTTAAGCATTTTGTTGCATCCAGGCTTATAATTGTAAAATTCAGCGAATGGGGTACCAATCCCTATCAGGACTTTTGAGCAATATCTGAATATAAATATTTGCTACTGTTACTACAGGCAATATGTACTTTCATGTTATGGTCTTCCAAATACATAAAGGCATTGATGGACAAAACTAGTTTGATTCTATTTAAAGCAGAGCATATGTTAAAACTACTGTTTTCAGAACAGACGTCTAAATGGGATACAATACTGTACTTTATCATTATGATTAGTATATCGGGTGTATTTCTACACTTATATTAGTTTTATATTTTGAGGACAATGTTATCAGTATAAAATTGATGTGAGGGAGGAATGGTGAGCCGTGGCCATTTAAGTTATTAATGACAATCTGCTGTGAAGTTTTCTACTGAAAATACATTAAATAGGTTGAGATTGTTAATAATCATGAACTAGTCATGAATTTACACCTAAAATCACTGTTCTTGTTCTGATTCTGTGTGCATGCTGTTCTTGTTCTGATTCTGTTCTTGTTCTGTGTGCATGCTGTCAATGTGTTTAAACATTTTCAAAACTTAAGACCCAGTTTTGAAGTCCTTATTCAGACAGATGTCCCACTAATGTCAATGGAATGCTGTGTGAATAGGGACTACAGGCTCAAACCCTAATTTGTTCCTTTTTTGGTTTGAGTAGCAGAGTGGAAAGGAAGAAGTAATTAACAGCCTGGCTAACCCAATTGGAAAGGAGAGTCTCATTACAGCTTTGTCTTAGCATATATTATAGCCTAATTACAAGGCCTGATTTTTTGGCACAAACTAAATCAGTTTTGCTAACTAACAAAATCATCCAAAACACAGAACTTGGTGGTGATGGGGGATTTCAACTACCCAGACATCTGTTGGGAAAATAACACAGCAGGGCACAGATTATCCAACAAGTTCTTAGAATATATTGGAGACAATTTTTTATTCCAGAAGGTAGAGAAAGCTACTAGGAGAGAGTCTGTTCTAGATTTGATTTTGATGAATAGAGAGGAACTGGCTGAGAATTTGAAAGTGGAAGGCCACTTGGGTGAAAGCGATCATGAAATGATAGAGTTCATGAGTGTAAGGACGGGTAGGAGGGAAAACAGCAAAATTAAGAAAATGGATTTCAAGAAGGCAGACTTCAACAAACTCAGGGAGTTGGTAAGTAAGATCCCATAGGAAGCAACTCTAAGGGGGAAAACAATTGAAGACAGTTGGCAGTTCTTCAAAGAAACATTATTAAGGGCACAAGAGCAAGCTATTCCACTGCGTAGGAAAGATAGGAAGTATGGCAAGCGACCACCATGGCTTAACCAGGAGATCTTGAATGATCTAAAAATCAAAAAAGAGTCCTACAAAAAGTGGAAACTAGGTCAAATTACAAAAGATGAATATAAACAAACAACACAAGTCTGTAGGGGCAAAATTAGAAAGGCCAAGGCGCAAAATGAGATCAAACTTGCTGGATACATAAAGGGCAACAAGAAAACATTCTACAAATATATTAGAATCAAGAGGAAGACCAAGGACACAGTAGGCCCGTTACTCAATGAAGAGGGAAAAACAATAACAGAAAATGTGGAAATGGCAGAGGTGCTTAATGATTTCTTTGTTTCGGTTTTCACCAAGAAGGTTGGTGGCAATTGGATGCCTAACACAAGGAATGCCAGTAGAAATGGGGTAGGATCAGAAGCAAAAATAGGGAAAGATCAAGTTAAAAATTATTTAGACAAGTTAGTCTTCAAGTCACCAGGGCCTGATGAAATGCATCCTAGAATACTCAAGGAGCTGACTGAGGAGATATGTGAGCCATTCGCAATTATCTTTGAAAAGTCATGGAAGATGGGAGACATTCCAGAAGACTGGAAAAGGACATATATAGTGTCCATCTATAAGAAGGGAAATAAGGCAACTCAGGAAATTATAGACCAGTCAGCTTAACTTCTGTACCAGGAAAAATAATGGAGCAAATAATTAAGGAATCAATTTGCAAACATCTAGAAGATAATAAGGTGATAAGTAATAGTCAGCATGGATTTGTCAAAAACAAATCATGTCAAACCAACCTGATAGCTTTTTTTGACAGGGTAACAAGCCTTGTGGATAGGGGCGAAGCGGTAGAAGTGGTATACCTGGACTTTAGTAAGGCTTTTGATACGGTCTCACATGACCTTTTAATTAACAAACTAGGGAAATACAACCTGGATGGAGCTACTATAAGGTGGGTGCATAACTGGTTGGAAAATCCTTTCCAGAGAGTAGTTATCAGTGGTTCACAGTCAGGCTGGAAGGGCATAACGAATGGGGTTCCACAGGGACCAGTTCTGGGTCTGGTTCTTTTCAGTTTCTTCAGCAATGATTTAGATGATGGCATAGAAAGTACCCTTATAAAGTTTGTAGATGATAGCAAGCTGGGAGGGGTTGCAAGTGCCTTGGAGGATAGGATGAAAATTCAAAATGATCTGGACAAACTTGAGAAATGGTCTGAGGAAAATAGGATGAAATCCAATAAGGACAAATGCAATGTATTCCACTTAGGAAGGAACAATCTGTTACACACATACAAAATGGGAAATGACTGCCTAGGAAGGAGTACTGCAGAAAGGTTATCTAGGGGTGATAGTGGACCACAAGCTAAATATGAGTCAACGGTGTAACACTGTTGCAAAAAAACCAAACATCATTCTGGGATGTATTAGCAGGAGTGTTGTAAGCAAGACACAAGAAGTAATTCTCCCGCTCTACTCCACACTGATTAGGCCTCAGCTGGAGTATTGTGTCCAGTTCTAGGCGCCACATTTCAGGAAGGATGTGGACAAATTGGAGAAAGTCCAGTGAAGAGCAACACAAATGATTAAAGGTCTAGACAACATGACCTATGAGGAAAGATTGAAAGAACTGGAGAAGAGAAGACTGAGAGGGGACATAATAACAGTCTTCAAGTACCTGAAAGGTTGTTACAAGGAGGAAGGAGAAATATTATTCTCCTTAACCTCTGATGATAGGACAAGAAGCAGTGGGCTTAAACTGCAGCAAGGGAGGTTTAGGTTGGACATTAGGAAAAACTTCCTAACTGTCAGGGTAGTTAAGCACTGGAATAAATTGCCTAAGGAGGTGGAATCTCCATCATTGGATATCTTTAAGGGCAGGTTAGACAAATGCCTGTCAGGGATGGTCTAGATGGTGCTTGGTCCTGCCATGAGTGCAGGGGACTGGACTAGATGACCTCTTGAGGTCCCTTCCAGTCCTATGCTTCTATACTTCAACGTTTGCCCTAGGAGTAACTGGCAGTGGAAAAGCATGCTGTTATCCTCTGTGTGGATAAGCCCATGCATGGAGGAAAATGCACACATTGTCACTTGGTTACAGAATTTGAGACAGCACTGAAGTGATGGGCATCTGTGGTCCTGGTTTCTTTTCCTGGCTCTGTGAGTACCGTGTTGCCTAATAGTTACAGACAGCATCACCAAGTGTAATACCATGGTGGTCATCTGTGGGGATTGAACACCAGACCTTTAGATAGATAAATGTCTGAACCTTCCTCACTTCAGTTAAAGGGTCAATCTTCTTTACATGACGGTAGTAGCACTCATAAATCTCTACATATGGTCTCACCACTATGAAGGTGATACAGAGCTATCCTGTTATGCAAACACATAACTTGGCTACCTTCTTCTGGAAGTCACTGTGACAAAGTGGATGAGACTTGGATCTATGATATTGGATAGCTGGTTTCTATGCCTAGTCTTTCTTGAAGTGGCCTTGTGCAAGCTCTTGGGTGTCTTATCTGTAAAGTCGGGGAATGATTCATACCTTCCCTAAGGTAGCAATATGAAGCTTGGGTTGTGCAGTGCATAGACATACTAACAGCAGTCTGTAGAAGAGTGAGGACTAGAACTCAGAATGGCCTGATTTTGCACCTCCATGGGCCTTCCCTTATGCTTGCTGGTGTGTGAGACTTTCCCTTCCCTACCCCCAAAAAGTGTGAAGGCAGGAGCTTATGTTTTAATGAGTTCAAATAGAAGGAGACCTAATCACATGACTTGCATCTGTGCTGCAGTGCAAAAGACTCAGGTTTCAGAACCTGCTGATGGTGCATAATATGGGGGTTGTTACACACACTGCTGATTGACAGGTTTCACCCTAGAGGTGGCTGCATTTCAGTTGTAGTTGAAAGGATTCTTGTATATGGCCCCAATTCAGCAAAACACTTGTATATGCACATGTATAGTTTTAAACTAGGGCTGCAAAATCTGGAACATAGTTAAGTGATTTGAGATCCTCTAGGATAAAAGCAACAGAGGGTCCTGTGGCACCTTTGAGACTAACAGAAGTATTGGGAGCATAAGCTTTCGTGGGTAAGAACCTCACTTCTTCAGATGCAAGTAATGGAAATCTCCAGAGGCAGGTATAAATCAGTGTGGAGATAACGAGGTTAGTTCAATCAGGGAGGGTGAGGTGCTCTGCTAGCAGTAGATAAAAGGTACTTTATACATTTTATATACTATTATTGTTATTGTTTAAATAGCTTAATTTTAACAAATTAATATTTTTCTCTCAGCTTTTAGTTCATTGTTTGTATTACTACTTGTCACTGATTTAGATTACAGGGTGAAGTATAAAGAACATATTAAAAAACAGTACCAGTTAATAAAAGAAAGGAACTCTCGTCTTGGTGAGAATGTGAATCTAAGCAAAAGGTATACAAAACTGACTATTATAAGCAAGCTTCGTTGCAAAAAGGAGAGAGAACATGAAATAATGGCCTCCAGATGGAGACATGCAAAAATCATGACTGAACAAGCTCGCTCTTCTGTTACCATAAACTCCTTATTTGATCCTGAAAATGGACAAACACCACAAATCGTTGTTCTGCAGGGAGCTGCAGGCATTGGGAAAACAATGACTGCAAAAAAGATCATGTTAGACTGGGCTTCTGGAGAAGTTTATGAGAACAGATTTGCATACATTTTCTACATAAATTGTTGAGAAATAAACTATGGGAGTAAGCAAGGAACAGTGGTTGACTGGATTAGGTAAAATTGCCCTGACAAAAATGTACCAATTAATGAGATTTTGTTAAATCAAGAAAAACTTCTCTTCGTGATTGATGGTTTTGATGAACTGAGGTTTTCCTTTGATCGAAAGGAAGATAGTCTGTGCACAGATCCCTGGAAGGAGATGCCAATGGAAGATGCACTGAGCAGTTTATTTAGGAAAAAGCTACTTCCTAAATCCTACTTAATGGTCACTACGAGACCCACTGCTCTGGAGAAACTTGGGCAGTGTTTGGAGTGTTCACGTTATGCAGAGATCCTGGGATTTTCTGAAGAGGACAGGAAGGAATATTTCCACAAGTTCTTTGGGGATATTGATGCAACAATAGCCTTTGATTTTGTGAAACAAAATGAGATGCTTTTCACCATGTGCTTTGTCCCCATTGTGTGTTGTATCACCTGCACTGTTATGATACAACAGCTGGAGGCAGGTAAAGATTTTGCACAAAATTCAAAAACACTCACTGCTGTGTATGTGCTTTTCATATACAGTTTATTAGAGCCACACAGCCACAGTCCAAACCAAAACATGCAAGATAATCTGAAGAAACTTTGTTCCTTGGCTGCAGATGGAATTTGGAAACAGAAAATACTGTTTGGGGAGGAAGAAATAAAGGAGTACAGTTTAGATGAATTCTACTCTCTCCCCCTCTTTCTGAATGAGAGTGTTTTTAAAAGAGACATTGATTGTGTAAGTGTCTACAGCTTCATTTACTTAAGCTTCCAAGAGTTTTTTGCTGCTTTGTTTTATGTACTAGAGGAAGATGAACAAATGAAATGTTCAGTGACTCCCAACAGAGATGCAAAACTATTGTTAGAAAACTATGGAAAATCTGGAAATTATTTAATGTTAACAGTGCGATTTCTGTTTGGTCTCTTAAATGAAAAGACAATGAAGAATATCAAGAAAAAAATTGGCTTGAAGATTTCACCTAATATAAAGCCACATTTACTGAAGTGGGTAAAAACAAAACAAAAAATTTTGTCATTTTCCTCTTCACACGATGAGCTGATTTACAAACTTGAAGAGTTTCACTGTATGTACGAGATCCAAGAAGAAAGTTTTGTGAAAAGTGCTTTGGATCATTTCACTGAAATAGATATAAGTAATTATTCCTTAACCCAAATGGATCAAATGGTTATTTCATTCTTTGTAAAGAGTTTTCCTACACTGAAGTCACTTTGGCTGTCTGGATGTAGATTTGGAGTTGAAGACAAGAATGAAGAATTAGCCCCACCACCAGCTAAGCGGTTATGTCTGTAAGTATTATTTGAGTGCCACCAATTGTTTGTAAAGTTTCTTTAATAGTGGAAACCTGTTTCTTTCTTGTTTTAATAACTCTCAAATGGCTTAAGTGACCCACAACAAACAAAACCTCAATTTTAATTTCAGAAAGTTAGTGACATGTTTGTGGAGGCTTCCCTGGGTGTTAGTATCAACAAAAGCGCACTGATCCTGTAAGCAGACCCCAGTACTCATAGAACATCCTTTAAACGCATTGGAGGGTGGAAGGGGGAAGAAGGGGCAACCACTCTGTGTAAGAGTCCATTTCTATGGACCAGTTTGCAGCACTGGGGAAAAGTTACCTTACTCTTTTGCCTAACACTTTTTTTTGTCTTTGCCCTCTTAGTAACTATTTCATTTTCCATATACATACCATGTACCTGATAAAATAAGATAGCTAGCAATGGGCAGGTTGTACTATTCTAAAGAAAAAAATATGACTATTAACCCTGAGATTTATTTATTGAGCCTGATTCTTATTTACATTAAGGCCACTTTACATCACCGTGGTAAAGGATACACAACCCTTACACTCAAAGTGAGGGGACTTAGTTTAAATGGGAATGGGGCCTATTCTCTATGCTTTAATATTGATAGTAGTGTGACTTTTGCTAGCTGAAAGGCATAAACTAGTTCTCAGCTTTTGTTTCAGGTACACTGTATGCTTGATATATAATTTTGTACAATAAAAGTCAGGGGTTTGGAACAATCAAATTTTTGAATTGCTCCGGTCCAGCTCTGCTCCTGCACCAATAATGACTGCTCCAGCTCTGCTCTGCGCTCTGACTCAAATTAATTTTTAACTAAATAAAAAAGTGCATACTGTAATTTTGAAAAAACATTATTTTTATTCAGACTCTTAAAACAATTTAAATGTCATTAACAATGATACATACTAGAATCATTCATAATTCATTCTGTAAAAAATTATTGCAGCAATCAAGTCGTCTTTCATAGCCTGCCGCAAATCATTTAAAATTAACTTTAAAGCCAAAAACAGTCGCTGTACACTAGCTTGAGTTGTTGGCATGCTCAAAGCAATTCTACAAGCAGCCTGAATGCGGTGTGGGTAGCTGTGAATGGCCTCAAAAACAGACTTAACTTTTAGCCTACCAATAGACTCCATCGCCTCACAATCTTCCTGAAAGTTTTTCTTGAATAATGCTTCATTACAATTATGAACCGCAGAAACTCGCGGGCATCTTTCTTGTTTATCCAATTCCTTTTTGAAGTTGTCATCTTCTGAAGAATTGATGCTTGAATTATCTCCATTTCCCCGTGATGGTTGAAGACGTCTCAGGGATGGACGCTCGAACAAGTTCAGAGTGGAGACGGAAGTTTGAGAACAGCCTGCTATTTCTGAAGGATGTGAACTTTCCAAAACCGCAAATTTAATTGTTGATGACTCCTTTGTGTTGTTTTCTTCAACCTCTTTCGCCGAGTTCAAATGTAGCAATAGATTTTGTTTTTCGAGTTGTCGAGCAATATTAAGGAGCCCTTTCTTTGCCTTTGGTATGTCCCTTGAGGTAAGAAGAATCCGATACCATGGGTCAAAATAAACTCTAGCAAGGAAATGAATATTGTCAAAAAGCTTATCTTCATGTTTCTGCATGGAGGATAGAATTCCTTCTGCAAATTGTCCACCATTTTATTGCAAGAATTTTGACAGTTTTCGCCATTCCTTCATTAAAACTTCCGGGGTTACATCGACAGCTTGAAGATTCATGGTTGTTTGGTTTCGCTTTGCCAAAAGGTCTCACAGGTTCTTCACTTCATCCCATTCAGCTTTTGTTAACTTGAACCACTTGTTCACAGTAAGATTGAAAACGAGAAGCCGATTAATCATCGCAAATGTTGAACCACAGCGAGTCACAGTATCCAATGATTGAGTTACCCCATGTAGATCAAGCAGAACACTTCAAATACTTGGGATTTGTAGTTTGACAACGACTTGTCGAATTTTTGCCAGAAATTAATTCACATGTTCTTTGTTCAGTCCATCCCAGATTGCCACCTGAAGAGTGTGAATACCACACCTCATCAGTTGGACTTTTGAGTCATCCTCATAAAGCCATATTGGAAGTATGAGGTTAGGGTCATTAACCCATTGCACAGCAGCATCCATGTTGAGTTTGATTTCATCCATTCCTTTAGTTCCTTCATCAGGCAAAATAGCTTCAGTTCTGTCCACATCCCTGTTCTCAGAGGTAGAAATGGTTTCATTGTCCTTGCTGAAATTTTTGACGGAACACGTCATGTTTGCTGCATTGTCAATGCAGATGCTCAGCACTTGCATTTCACTGATCCCCAATTTTTCTAAAATAGCTTTTACTTGACTTTTCACGTATGAAGAATTGTGATGCCCTTCAGTGTCGATTATGTCCAAGGTTTTTACCACAGCTTTATCTTTTCCTTCTTCGTAGTACTGAGCATTGATATCAAGGAAATTTCTGTTTCCATGGGTTGCCGCATCCATTTTCAGATAGCACAATTTTTGCTCCAAAGCTTTCTTAAGCTCTTTGCGACCAGACTCATCTGTGCTGACAACTAAATGACGAACCGCATTGTGCCCCGTCGAAACGCTAAGCTGCCGACCCATTTCACCTGCAATTTTTTGGAATCCTTTGTTCTTTAGCCTGAAGGTTGTGAGCAGTGTTGAACTCAAGCAAACCATTTCCATCAGCCCTTCACGGAAAGTCTTGGCATCCATGGTGACTGTAACCTTTGAGGACTTAAAATATGAGTCAAGTTTTGTTTACTCAATTTTAGGTTTCTTTTCAGATGAAGCGCCGCAAAAAATCTTTTCTCCAGGAGTTTTCAAAGAGCCAGATGAACATCGTTTAGCTGCGTCAGCTTTCTGTTTTGCCTCATCTTTTCTGGTCCTTTTTTGTAACCAGATCTGCATAGTTTTCAGGATGGTTATGTTTTACATGCCGCCAAAAGTTGAAACTTTTCATGGTACTTGCTTCACTTGTCTTGAAGCTACATGGTTTGAGCTCGCCATTCACTTCCTTTTCCACCTTGCACATTGCCGACTTCTTCTTTGCTTTTCCCAAAAGCCCAAATTTGGGCTTTTCAAATTCAAAAGTAAAGATGTCGTTGAGATCCTTTTCCGTAAATCGGCTATCAATCATGGGGGGCAGATTTGATTTTTTTGTTGAAGCCATGGCAAAATCTTCTTGTGCTGCCACTGCATCCACATGTTTCTTGTTATGATCTTCAAAAAGCAATGAACAAAAGTATTACATTTTTTAATAATGTACCTGCTTGTGATATCTTAATCACTTAAGGTACTTCGAATTTATTTTGGATTTTCTGGACAAAAATGATCGCATTTTCTTTTTACACAAAATTATTATTAAAGTATTTTAATATTTTAACATGTTTCTTGCAGTTTTAATCAAGTAAGAAGTATTTTTAATATACATAATTAATATATTTTTTTATTTATAAATTGCGAGTTAGTTTTTCTGATGAAATTTTGCGGTAAAATATTTGAAATATTTTCCAAGTTTTTAATTAATATCTCAAAAACGCTTTAATATAGATATATCAATGAAATTTGGTATGTGCCATAGCGTTAGTACGTGCTATCGCTCTTCTACAATGTTAATTGTTGGGAAGTAACGAGGCTACACATTACAAGGTTGAAAATAAACTTTAACAGGAAAGTGGATTCAAACTGCAAGCACAGTCCTTTTAGTAAAGAGAGCAAATTTTCGGAAATATGTTTTTGCTTCATCAGCCTGAATAGATTATACAAGATAGAGCAAATAACAGGTTCTATCTTGTATAATGTTTCCAGCCTGATGAAGGAAAAACATATTTCTGAAAATTTGCTCTCTTTACTAAAAGGACTGTGCTTGCAATTTGAATCTGCTTTCCCGTTAAAGTTTATTTCCAACGTTCTATCATACAAAATCATTCAAATAAAATAATTTAAACTACAGACGTCGTAAACTGGGGAGGACTGGGCCAATTTTATTTAATATTTTTTAAATCTTTGACTATTTTCCAGATACGACCCTGGAATATGATTTAATGCTAAAACATGCATTAAAACGGTACTCTTAATTTATTTTGTATAATTAACTGTTTCCGAGAAAATTGTTTAAAAATTTTAATCTGCTTACATGCTTAGAATGATACAAACAATTTTACTTATTACTTATTTTTCAACTTTGGAACTATACATTTTAAACGTAATAATAAATAATAACCAAAAATTATTAACTTATTATGGAACATAATATTACCGCTTGTAGCCGGGGCAGTCGACGCCTATGGTTTAAATAATTTTGGATAATGTAATATGGTAGCACATACTAACGCTAAGACACAGACATAATTTCATTACTTTATATTAAAGCGTTTTTGAGATATTAATCAGAAATTAATTTTTCATCACCTCCTTGAAGGGACTGTAGCTCCCTTAGGAAGAATTTTAGGACACGTGTTCACAGAAACGTTTTTTCTTAAAATGACCTAAAGATTCACCCCCAAAGTTGTGCTGGACATTTTCCAATCACTCTGGATATATCACAAAAATCACTCCTTATTTATGCAAAAATGTTTACTGTATATTTATATGTCTGCTGCATGTGACTTTTTCAATAAATTTAAAATTACAAACAACGCTACCAAAAGACCCTTGAACAGATGACACATAAAATAAGTCCACCAGAGTGATACGGGAGCATGTACAAATGAACAAATGTACTGGTAACGGGAGCCCGTGTGAGAAATGAACTTAAGTGGTTAATATTTCTTGCGATATCTTAATATATCAATAAACAAAAACATTATTTTTTTTGCAATATACCTGTTTGTGATATCTTAAATGTTGCGTCTTCTGTCACACTTTTCCGTAATCGAAGCACTCAGCGCGTCTCATTGATCAACCCTTACAAAAGAAGTATCAACACATATTAACTATCTAACTAATCTATGTGAGTACGAACTCGTCTAACCTTGGCACAAGGGTGGGAGCAGTCTGCAGTGTTGCCGGATGTCTGATAATTATCTGATTCTTTAATAAAACATATCTCCAAAAAACTTTGTAATTTTGTATCTGTATATTAAATCTTGATTTTGGCCAAAGTGAGAATAACTGACATATTACATAAAGTGGTAAAGTAGATGTTAATATCAATTGTTATACAATCTGAAACTTTTTGGCACCTTTAGGACTTTCTTACTAAATATCATTCATTTTAGATTGAAAATGATAAAAAAAAAAAAAACTGGAGCAGTGGAGCAGTCAAGATTTTCTGTGCTCTGGCTCCTCTCCAGCTCCAGACAAAAACCTGCAGCTCCACACTCCAGCTCTGGGCTCCGCTCCAAAGGCCTGATAAAAGTAGAACAGGTTTAGAATACTTTCTGAAATGTGGCATGCTGGCTGACACCCCAAACTTTTATAGCCAGAAAAGTATTTTTTTAAAAGCTATAAAGATGCCTGAAAATGTCTAAGGATTAGTTTCTTCCATCTATAACTAATAATTGATACAAAGCTATGACATTAAATGTACATATAGCATTTTATATTTTTACACCAAAAATGTCATCAAGATGCATGAGTATATTTTCTTACAACACAAATGAAAACCCAGGATCTGACTAAGTCAGGGCATGGTGGTGGTGGCAACAGAAGTATTACTCCCCACCAAAACATACCAATTTCCCTAGGCTACAGAGATCTAAAAAACAATTAACAGTGCTTTAGCGTGTTGGTATACATGTATTGTTTCTTTAAATCTGTAATAGGAAGCCAGCTGCAGGGAACTGGGGGTAGTTCCAGGCGAACATCTACAGTGAAGCAGAAAAAGACAGTAGCTGTGGGAATAATATTGTTTTGTTTTGTTCTTTGTTCAATGTGAAAAGAAATTCATTCTTTCTGTGATTCTCTAGCTCTGTCATATGACATGGTGCCATTGACTATCCAATCAAAGCCTACCTTTATGGACTATGTAAAGGTGTTTCTCGTTAGTGAGGTGTATTTTCTTGCCTTGTATCAATTTTCAGCTCCCAGCTATTTCAGTGCTAAAGCTAGCTTAAAAACCCTCTCAATGCAGTTTTAAATATTGGGATGTAAAAGATCGGCAGTGTTTGCCTGAGAACCCTGTCTTTTAACAGGAGTTGATCCTAGTGAAAGATTTTAAGTATTGACTCAGTGCAAGTATCTGGCTAATAATAATACTGTTCTCTTCCATCACCATATATATTTTTACAAGTGTCCTCACCCTTCCAATATTGCACCAACTAGACTGCCTTATTGCCCACTTCCTTTTTGTCCAATGACATGGTCATATGACTCCAAAGTCCCTCTTACTCTTTCCTCCCTTTCTGGACCCCCTAGGTATCACTTATTGGCTGGTGTGCATTTTTGGCACCATTCAGACATTTTGAAAGATGCTATCTTTTTCTTCTATTTAATTAAACCTTACAAGAATCATTACAAATATATTTTATGCATTTTCCTCTTCAGAGGGAATTAGTTTAATGCATTTAGCACACATTCTAAACAAAATTTAATTGTGCAAAGCTGCTAGTATACTTCTAAATACGTTAAATAAATGCAACAAGGCAGAACGCTGGAATTAAATAAAGGCAATAAGACACAAAGTATTAGAATGAGAAAATAACTTCTATATTTCGCTTACATATGTCTGGGAGGGGGTTACTGTTCCACATACTTTGAGAAATATTTTTATCAAAATTTGTCCCACTGTACTGCTGATATACATGTGCTGTCATAAAATGTCCGTGACCTATGCTGCTCTCTGGTGTCAGGACCTAAATAGCTGCCCTTTCTGATAACTGAAATGATGATAAACTCAGTACAGTGTACTTGGGGTTGTGCTTTTTGAAGTTAAATCACTATAAGACTTTAAGCAAAATTCCTCTGATTTTTTTTATTGCATCTTTAAAAGTGATAAGCAATTAGGGCCTATGTTTCAGAAGTGCTACACGCCAGCATCTCCAGTTGATGTCAATAGAAGTTACGGCTGCTCAGTGTCAGTGAAAACCAGACCCTTATTCACAAACCCAAAAGCATATAATCTTTGCAGAGACCACAACTTGCATGAATGCCTAATACAACATGTGAATGTCCAAATAACCACTGTACTGCAAGTCAGAAAATGAACTGGTTGCACTTAGAACAGGTTGTACAATTTGACTGTGATATTGAAAGTGCATTTTTCTGAGCTAAATACATTTTTGTTCAGGGGAACTTACAATGAACTGCAAATGTAGCAAAATCCATATACTTCATACAGAAGCCCCATTCAAAGTGCCATGTTCAGGAAAAAAATTTAAAATCTATTTTCCATTTTTTTCTAGGCAAGAACAGGCTGAGTCAAATAATTTACCTGTCTACCTGCTGTGTCAAGCACTGAAGAATCCAAACTGCAAATTAAAGAAACTGAAGTAAGAAACTTTCTCCTTTCCCTGTTTTAAAATCTTCTTTTTACTTATATTTCCCCAGAAATTAAGTAACCGTGTAGATGCTAATTAGTCAGTGAGTTGGGGCTACCAGGGAAGGTCACTTGTTAGAACAGCCATAACATATGATCTCTCTGTGCTCCATTCTTCTGCAGGTTAGAGATGTGCAATCTCACAGTTGCTTGTTATAGGGTTCTGTCTTCTGCTCTCAGCATTAATCAGACCCTGAGAGAGCTGGACCTGAGCTATAATGACCAGGGAAAACGAGGAGTGCTGGACCTATGTAAGGGACTAAAACATCCAAACTGCAAACACTCAGGTAAGTAGCCACAAGTATGTACATAGCCCACCAGGGTGTGTGGCTAGCTGACTTTAGGTGTATGAGAAGACTGAAAACCAAGTGTGTCTCTAGCACTTAAAATGTCAATAGTTCATATTGTGTGTGTATCCTGGATGGTTTATAACATTTTAGATAAGAGTGGGTTTAAACAAGAGCACTGTATCAGAACCCCTCTGAACTCAGGGGAAAACAGTTACAACTTTTTAATAAAGAAAATCACACAATGCATTTTCCAAGAAAAATTGGAACATCATATTACTCTTTTCGATAATAGCCTACTTTAAGTACTTGTTATTTTAAAAGTTATTTTACATTAATTTTCATTTAAAACAAATAAAGTACTGTGGAAAATCCATGGTACCTGAGAATCCTAAATATCCCAATAGGCTTAATTTGTGTCTGACAGGCATCATCCCGTGGTGATAGTCTGGTGCATGATAAAACCTGTGCACAAAGAGTGTGGGGGAGGCATAGCTCAGTGGTTTGAGCATTGGCCTGCTAAACCCAGGGTTGTGAGTTCAATCCTTGAGGGGCTCAATTAGGGATCTGGGGCAAAAATCTGCCTGAGGGTGGGTCCTGCTTTGAGCAGGAGGTTGGACTAGATGACCTCCTGAGGTCCCTTCCAACCCTGATATTCTATTAAATGGTCTGTGATAAGCTGAAGGGCTGCCATTCTGGAACTGAAGCCAAAGAAATATGAGTTGTTCCAAAAACAGATACTCACTCAGTGATGGGGGTTGGGAATTTCCACTGACAGAAAACTGAAGCTTTGTAGGGCTCTGGCTTGATTACAGGAGAGTCCTCTTTGGGTTTACCAAAGGATTGCATTGGTGGGGTGAGAGAAGGAAACCATTTCAGTGCTAAGCAGTGTGAGATTTAGCATTTTTAGAGTTGAAATGCTTGTGACTGCTCCTATCTTGGCCTACCCACATTGCAAAACCCCTTTCATACTGCAAACAGCTGCTAGTGCTTATGATTTGGGGGCAGTGTTGACACAAGAACACAACGGATTTGAAAAGGTGGTGGCTTATTACAGCAAAAGTCTAAATTCCCCGGAGACAAATTATTGCTCCATGCAAAAGGATTTCCTGGCAACGTTTAAATCTATAGAATATTTTCATCACTATTTGCATGGGAGGAAGATTATGGTTGGGACAGACCTGCAATCATGAAATGAATGGGCTTTTCACATTCAGGAACCCTGAGAGGCAACTTGCCAGGTGGCTGGAAAAACTGCAGTGCTGTGATTTCACAGGTACATACAAGCCTGGGCACAAACATGGTAAAGCTGACGCCTTGTCCAGTTGGCCGTGTTGAGAGGCTTATTGCAAACACTGCCCTAAGCAGGAGAGCAAGGAATTGGTAACTCACGTGCAGGAGTGTGCTCAGGAAGAGGTGGCTGTCTCCTCTCTTCCTATAATTTACAGAAGAGCAAATGTACCTTGTTTATCTCCTGGAACCAGTGATATGGGATGGCAGGAATGAACTTCAGAGCAACAGAAAGCTTCCCAAAGAGAGGATCCTGATATCAGAATGGTGCATGATAGAAAAATCCATTGCTAATCTGAGATACCTTGGAAGGTAGCATTCCCTCACCACACCACAGTTGAAAGCTAAGTGGTAAAACTTGGAAATTAAAGATGCAATACTGTATGGGAGATAGAGAAAAGACAGGTGATGGGTACAGGTACCCGATCCATTGAAAATTTAGGTTCTGTCATGATTTTAAAACTCCTGGGCATTTTGGGGATGTAAAAACCTTAGCCAAGCTAAGAGAGAATTTCTTTTGGGTAAAACGCAGAAAGGATGCAGAAAATAGATGCAGGAAATGTGATGCTTATATTGCAAAGAAAGGCCCCAGGAGATAAGGAGAGCCCCAATGCAGAAGTATCTGGTGCAGGAGCCAATGTAGCGCATTGCTGGTGATGGGCTTGGGCCTTCGTGCCTAAGACAGACTGGCAATCAATATTTGTTGGTAGTGTTTTTTGTGAATTAATTCATGTGCTGAAGCTTCTCCAATAAGAAATCAAGAGTCTGTGACACTAACTAGGGTCCTAGAGAATGAATTATTCACCGAAATTGGGGTCCCGGGTGAATTGCACAAAGATCAAGGGAGAAACTTTGAATCTAAAGTATTTCAGCAAATGTATGGGATTCAAAGAACTCCTCCCACCCCAGCCCACTTATACTCTAATGCAGGGGTGGGCAAACTTTTTGGCCCGAGGGCCACATCTGGGTGTGGCAGGGGGTTGGGAGGGAGTGCGGAGTGTTGGAGGGGGTGCAGTGTGCAGGAAGGGGCTCAGGGCAAGGAATTGGGGCAGAGGAGGGATGTGGGATGTATGAGGGGGCTCAGGGAAGGGGGTTGAGGTGCAGGAGGGGTGCAGACTGTGGGAGGGGGCTCAGGGCAGAGGGTTGGGGTGCAGGAGGGGTGTGGCAGAGAGTTGGGGTGCACAGGTGCAGCAGGGGGCTCAGGGCAGGGAGTTGGGATGCAGGAGGGGTGCAGGGTGCAGCAGGGGTTCTGCTTACCTAAAGCGGCTCTAGGGTGGCAGCGGTATGCACTGGGACCAGGGCAGGCTCCCTGCAAGCTAACATGGCTAGTACAGTGGCTCAGATGGTAGAAGTCTGTGCTTCAGTGCTGAAGGTTAATTAATTAACTAATGGAGATATCCTATCTCCTAGGACTGGAAGGGACCTTGAAAGGTCATCGAGTCCAGCCCGCTGCCTTCACTAGCAGGACCAAGTACTGATTTTTGCCCCAGATCCCTAAGTGGCCACCTCAAGGATTGAACTCACAACCCCGGGTTTAGCAGGCCAATGCTTAAACCACTGAGCTATCCCTCCCCCAAGGTTCAGTGCTGGTGCAGTGATTGTTACAGAGGTACACCATACAACTGGTTTTTGCCTTTGCCCTTTTAAAGAATAACTTTGGCAGTTACATATCAAAAGTGTGTTATAAAAAAACATTACTGAAGTTGCAAAATCAAGTAGTTGAAATTTAGGAAACACCAGAATGAAGGTTGCCTGTGCATCTTTAATTTGGCCCCCTTGTGTTTGTGCATTATGAAAAATTAGGACTGTCAAACGATTAAAAAAATTGATTGTGATTAATTGCAGTTTTAATCGCACTGTTAAACAACAATAGAATACCATTTATTTAAATATTTTGGCTGTTTTCTACATTTTTATATATTGATTTCAATTACAAGGCAGAATACAAAGTGTATGGTGCTCACTTTAGATTATTATTTTTGATTACAAATATTTATATGCCAAAAATCTGGTTCCGTTTTGGTTTAGGTGGAGCCCATCCTTCCTGTGCAGGCTCCTCCTTTCCTGAAAGGTTGCACAGTTCCAAATAAACCAAAATCTCTTCTCTGAACATCATTGTCTCATCCACGCATTGAGACCCTGCAGTTCTGTCTGTCTTATCTGGCTCTGCATGTGGAACTGGAAGCATTTCAAAGAATCCTCCCATAGAGGTCCTGGGCTTTAGTCTCTTTCTTACTCAGCAGCCTAAATTTGTCCTCCAGGACCTCTCTACTACCTTTCCCTATGTCATCCGTACATCTACCACTGCCACCGGCTCCTCCTCAGTACTGTACATAAGTCTATTGAGATGTCTTGAAGTCTGCAATCTTCACATCTAGCAGGCAATTGACCATGCGGTTCTCCTGATCATCTCAAACCCCAAACTATCCATTTTTCTAATAACTGAATCCCCCATTACTGATATCTGTCTATACTTAATAATTGGGGTTCCTTAGTGCAACATATCATGACATCATGTGGAAGGAGAGTCCCAACTACTGGATTGTTTCACTCTGTTGCAGCTTGATGTTCTCTTCCCCAAGACTTTCATCCTCCTCAGCACAACTCTAACCTTACAGAATAAAGAAAAAAATCTTTGTAGATGCTTCTTGACCTTAGTAAGTGAAACACAATGAATTGAGCAGAAATAAGTGATTTTCTTCTGTTTATCTCTGGCTGTTGCAGGTTGGAGAGCTGTGGTCTCACAATTGGTAGTTGTGGGTCTCTCTCCGACGTGCTCCGTACCAACCAGACCCTCTCAGAACTGGAGCTGAAGTGGAATCGACTGGGAGATTCAGGAGTGAAACTGCTGTGTGAAGGGCTAAAATGTCAAAATAGCAGATTGCAAAAAATAGTGTAAGTACCAGCTGGTTTTCTGTAGTCTGAGTCTGCTATGCCAAGCTACTTGGGAAGGTTGTGCAATACTTGTCATGGAAGGTTTTTAAGAGAAGGTTACACAAACACTTGCCAGGGATGGTCTAGGTTGACTTAACCCTGCCTCAGCACAGGGGGATAGAATCCTTGAGGTCCCTTCCAGCCCTACCTTTCTGTGACTCTAAGTGTCATACTGGTATTGTGCTTAACGTTTTTTTTTATTTTTGTGACAAGAGCACTCAGAGGGCCCAGTGGAGCCTCACTGTGCCGGGCACTGTATGAACACCAAGGAAGACAGTCTCTTCGCTGAAAAGTAGATGCTTTTAGGACACAGATCATCTCTCTTGGAGCCTTCTCCTCATGAGATACCACCACAGTTGCAGTCAGTGGAGGAACTTCAGCTAAGCCGGTTTGAAAGGAAGGGATCTCGTGTCTTTTGTGAAGTGCCCTTTATTCTTGAACATGTTCTCCTGCACCCTTAGGTCTGACAACTCAGGTCTGGTGATTTTCAGAGCATGCTGTAAGACTCTATTTTCTTGGGCTTTCCCTCATTGGTATTAGTAGTACCATAGCAACTCGGAGCCCTAGTTTTGGACTGAGACTCCATGGTGCTAGGTGCTGTAGAAACAGAACACTCAGGGGTTAGGGGGCTTTAGGATACTTGGTTAGGACAGTGGCTCTCAACCTTTCCAGACTACTGAACCCCTTTCAGGATTTGTCCTGTTTTTAAGTTTCACCTCACTTAAAAACTACTTGCTTACAAAAATCAGACATAAAAATACAAAAATGTCACAGCACACTATTACTGCCTAATTGCCGATTTTTCTCATTTTTACCATATAATTCTAAAATAAATCAATTGGAATATAAATATTGTACTTGCATTTCAGTGTATAATATATCAAGCAGTATAAACAAGTCATTGTCTGTATGAAACTGATTTTGTTAGTGCTTTTTATGTAGCCTGTTGATAAAACTAGGCAAATATCTCGATGAGTTGATGTACCCCCGGAAGACCTCTGTGTACACTCAGGGGTACACGTACCCCTGGTTGAGAACCACTGGGTTAGGAAGTTATTGTTTTCTGATGGATGGATTACATGGATAATTTATGCAGAGAAGTGAGTGAATTAGAGGATGGATAAATCTATATACTATGTTGACATATACCGAGCCTATGTACTCGGGTGGCTAGCCTGTGCCACTGCTGACTGTACTACCACAGCTGCATTAATTTGAGTGTGCTAGCTCTGCTCAAGTTAGCATGGGTACATTTGCACAAGCAGGGACTCACACCTCCAGACCTATAGTGTAGACATAGCCTATGATTATCCCAGTACTACAGCACTGGCATGTTATTGCCTGAGAAAAGTTCCTCTCTAGAAGTCCGGTGAGATGTTGACAGGACAGACAGAGTTAGTTATTTTCCATTTCTCTCTCTCTCTCTCTCTCTCCTGCAGATTGTGGGGTTGCGAACTTACAGCTGATTGCTGTGGGGAGCTCTCCTCTGTTCTCACTACCAGAAAGACCCTGACTGAGGTTAACCTGAATTTAAATGAACTGGGCAATTCTGGTGTGAGGTGGCTGTGTACGGGGCTGAAACATCCAGACTGCAAGCTGCAGAACCTGTCGTAAGAATTTTCATGTGCTCTTTAAGAATTTGACAGGATATGTGGCTGGTGTGTGTTGCCAGCTCCCTTCAGGCATCTGATATGTAGGACACCCTTCAGGCATGGGTATGTGTAGCTATGAGCCATCTGCCAATAACCTTCTTTCACCCTTGTGCATGGGAGAGTCATGGCACCATCTGTTTTCCTACTCTCTTCCCTGTTGGAGGAGCCAGTGAGCTTCAGATTCTCTCTGTCAGTGCGCACTCACCTTCCTGAACCCTCCTGAGGAGGGAGGTCAATGGGGCCTCACTGAGCAGGGTGGAAAGAGATGCAGCAGCTCCTTCTGAGATGATCAGTTGCTGATGGTTCCACTTCTCCCCCTCCGCACTGCCTTGCAGGGAGTCAGCCTTGTCCAATTCAGAGTGGGAAGGGTGGGGAGAGAGAATGAGTAAATCATGCATGAAGGTACTGGGGGGGGGGTCATATCTGACTGAAGGGTGTTTGCTTTAGAGCAGTGATGCCCTGACATATCCAATTAGACCATGGAAAAGTCTCCTCACAGATATGTTAGTAGCTCTGTCTCTTGGGACATTAAAAACTTGTCTAGACTGCTCACTGGAAAGCATCTTATAGGGAAAAATCCCTCATTAGCAGGGGGTAACCAGGTTAGCTAATGGAGGCTGTTGATTTATGAGCCAGGGGCGACTCATGGGAGGGGCGAAGTGGGTCATGTGACTGCCAGCACGGCCCACACTGGTCCCTCCCCTATGCTCCGTGTCTAATGTTCTGGGGAGAAGAGGAAGGGGTGATGACAGATCTGCCTCCCACACAAAACTTTGATATGAAACAGCCACAACCAGAGGCAGCCTCTGCCATTTGCTGGGATGGACCAGCTGTACCCAACTTCTTTGAAGTACATGGGAGATATCTGTATTAATTTTGTCTGTGTGAGAGTTTGGTTATTGTATTGCGTACTAAATGGTAACCAAGACAATGACTGTAGATGGCCCCAATTGCTGGTACTCAAATGGAGGATGGAGGTGTTAATTCCTTTGAAGTTCACCTCCACCAGTGTGGAATCCGGGGATCTGGCTGGGTGAGTGAGGTCCCATCTTGTAAGCTCCATGGGGTCCAGGCAGGGAAGACTTGCACGACGAGCTTGAAAGTGTATAAAAGCTGAGCCTCTGAGATAGAGGATGCAGAAGGTTTGCAGAGTAGCAGGCTGTAAGGTCCCCAGGAGAACAAGATGTGGGGAGGGGTAATCAAGGCTATGTCAGGCCTACATCAGTCACGAGGGAGATGCTAAGCTTAGATAAGATGTTTTTAGGGTTTTATAGTTTTAACTCTTTTCCTCTCAGTTTATCTTCCTATGGATGGATAAATAATACTTTGTTTCAAACAAGCTGTTCAGAGTCACTACATTTTCATAATGATCTAGGCTCCCGAAGGGAAACCTATTGCAGGGGTCAAAACCCAGTTGGATGAGTTGAGGAAACACAGCTGTTGGTTGTTGCCTTTTTCTGACCACGAAATGACATCTCTCAGAGGAAATGATTGCGGGGTGGAGGGAAAGGGGCGAATGGGAGGAACCACGGGGTAGCCATAAATCCATCCTAAATTTTGGCTCTCTGTGGAAAGGGCTAGAGTCAGTGCTGCTTAGACAGGAAGTCAAACTCCAAACTTTTTTGTTAACTGGCCAATGGCAGAACGTTGAGGTTTCGACATCTAGACCATTCTTAATGCTGATTGGACAACAGTGAAGAGTGAGTGATGTGGCTTAAGTGGGAAACCACAATCAAGCTGGCTTCTTATTAGTCTCAATGCTCATTGGCTAGGGAGATAGGCTAGAAGGCAATTTTACTTCTTAAAACAAAAGCTGTGATCATGTCCTCTCCGTGCTTCTCTCTCCTACGGGTTAGATAAGTGCGGTCTCACAGCCAAGTGTTGTGGGGTGCTCTCCTCTGTTCTCAGCACCAGCCAGACTTTGATAGAACTGAGCCTGAACTTGAATAAACTGGGCGATTCAGGGGTGAAGCAATTGTGTAAGGGACTGAAACATCCAGACTGTAAACTGCAGACACTGGGGTAAGCGTTTACAGGATTTACTTTATGTGAAGAATTTGCAGGTCATGTGTGATGCCATCTCCCTTCAGGTACACCGAGATTCCAAAAGCTGAGAATGTCTCCAGCACTTGACAAATCACTGGCCTGCAACACGGGTGCAGCCTGCAAGACGTTATTCTGTTTGGAAATCATGGATTTTAAAAAGATAGTCCTGAATTGAAAAACTGGATCTGAAACTCCTCAATCTTGGGTTTAACTATTATTCTCATGCACCAAAGGAATCCACTAGCCTGGGTATGAGACTGATGGACTGGGGATAACGCTGCCTATAAAAGCCATAGAGGGCATTGAAACTCTTAGAATTGTATCACGCAAATTCTTTACCTTGTATAAGCCCTGAACTCCATCACAGTCCAAGACATCTACCTCTGTGTTCTAGTCAGTAGTTCTCTGTGTCTTTCAGCTTGTGGGGCAAGGGGAGAACCTGCTAATTTGGAGGGTTTCATTGGCAATCCTTTCTCTACTGAACTGCTCACTCCTTCCTCCCTCTCCATACACAGATATCAGGAATTCATACCTGTCCCTTAGGGTTAGAGGTGCAGTTGGAATCCTGCACTCCAGGTGCAGATGAGGCACGCTACCTTAAAATTACACGCGTCTGACGAAGTGGGTATTCACCCATGAAAGCTTATGCTCCAATACATCTGTTAGTCTTAAAGGTGCCACAGGACGCTTTGTTGCTTTTTACAGATCCAGACTAACACGGCTACCCCTCTGATACTTGATACCTTAAAAATGTTAAAGATCTGGTCCCCACCCTATCAGAGATCATTGTGGACCAATGGACACCTCTCAGGGGCACTGAGTGGATGGGCTGAAATCTGTATCTCACAGTGTGCAGTTATCAGGGTCAAGTAGCTGGACTTGACTCTCCCCTTCCCTCGGCCCCAAGTCTCACAACACTATATTCTGTGCTCCAGACCTATGCTTCTGTTTTATGTAGCAATTTAATACAGTGCTTGCAGTCTTTACAGCATCCTACAAGAGCAATATGATTTAATCTACACTTCTAGAATGAATAAACTCTTTCTAGACTCCCATTGACATCAGTAGATAAAAACTGAGCAGGGAAGAAATTAGAAGTAATTTTCCTCATTATGTTTTTGGTTCCTGCAGTTTGTTTAGCTCTGACCTCACAGCTGATTGTTGTGGGGATCTCTCTTCTGCTCTTGGTATGAATCAGGTCCTGACAGAGCTGGACCTGAAGTGGAATCGCCAACTGGGAGATACAGGAGTGAAGGTGCTTTGTGAAAGACTGAAACATCCAAGCTGCAGACTTAAGAAAATAAGGTCAGTAACAGCTGTGTCTGTTAATTAGTCTGTGCCTGTTAAAATAATACCATCATAATTTTAGCTCATTCTATTAGCATTACAGTACTACAATGCATGCACTGCCAATGCTGGACTAGCACCACTACCCGTCATGGGGAAGGGGAGAGAGACCCACTGCCGTACTGTTCGGCCATATTTTACCAGATAAAAAAAGGGCTAGAGAACCAGTGATGAATGTCTCATGCCAACTGATTGCAGCATACAAATTTTTTCGTTTTTTTTTTTTTTTTTTTATCTTTTTACCTTTTTTTTGTTGGATGCCATGAAAAGTTTTTTACCTCTGCCATAGCATCCGCAGGATCTCAGACAGGTTAGTTCCCGGTGGTAGATAGTCTGATAAATCCAGCCTGTCCCATTTGATCCTGTCTCAGGAGATCTGAGTCCTTCCTGTTGTGAAGAAATTATTTTGCACACAAGATTGATCAAATTAAGGACTGGCCCTCTCCTTCGTAGTGGCAGAACAAGGTCTTGAGGGAACAAATTGTCTTCTGCTAGAGTTTCAGCCAGTGATGCTCCCTCAGGTACTGGAGGTGTTAAGCGAGTGATGTTTCAGCCTGTGCTTTGGATCTATGGCCTCCCAGGCTGGTGAAGGCCTCTGAGGAAATACTTGGGTCCCTCACTTATGGAGATTGTCAACACCTCTCTTAGAGAGGCCAGGCTGCCTGTTGCTTTGAAGGAGGCATTACTCAATATTGACAATCTTGCTAATTATTGACCAGAATCATAGAAGATTAGGGTTGGAAGAGACCCCATCCAGTCCAACCCCTTGCTCAAAGCAGGACAAACAACAACTAAATTATCCCAGCCAGGGCTTTGTCAAGCCGGGCCTTAAAAACTTCGCAGGATGGAGATTCCACCACCTCCCTCGGTAACCCATTCCAGTGCTTCACCACCCTCCTAGTGAAATAGTGTTTCCTAATATCCAGCCTAGACCTCCCCCACTGTAACTTGAGACCATTGCTCCTTGTTCTGTCATCTGCCACCGCTGAGAACAGCTGAGCTCCATCCTCTTTGGAACCCCCCTTCAGGTAGTTGAAGGCTGCTATCAAATCCACCCTCACTTTTCTCTTCTGCAGACTAAATAAGCCCAGTTCCCTCAGCCTCTCCTCGTAAGTCATGTGCCCCAGCCCCCTAATCATTTCTGTTGCCCTCCACTGGACTCTGTCCAATTTGTCCACATCCTTTCTGTATTGAGTGACCCAAAACTGGACGCAATACTCCAGATGTGGCCTCACCAGTGCCAAATAGAGGGGAATAATCACTTCCCTCGATCTGCTGGCAATGCTTCTACTAATGCCGCCCAATATGCCGTTAGCCTTCTTGGCAACAAGGGCACACTGCTGACTCATATCCAGCTTCTCATCCACTGTAATCCCCAGGTCCTTTTCTGCAGAACTGCTATTTAGCCAGTTGGTCCCCAGCTTGTAGCAGTGCAATGGATTCTTCCATCCTATGTGCAGGACTCTGCATTTGTCCTTGTTGAACCTCATCAGATTTCTTTTGGCCCAATCCTCCAATTTGTCTAGGTCACTCTGGACCCTATCCCTACCCTCCAGCATATCTACCTCTCCCCCCAGCTTAGTGTCATCTGCGAACTTGCTGGGGGTGCAATCCATCCCATCATCCAGATCATTAATAAAGATGTTGAACAAAACCGGCCCCAGAACCGACCCCTAGGGCACTTTGCTTGATACCGGCTGCCAAATAGACATTGAGCCATTGATCACTACCCGTTGAGCCCGGGTATCTTTCTTTTTTTGGATAAGATTGTGGGGGAGGTTGTGGTGAGACAACTCACAATATCTAAATGCCCGTGATCTCCCTGAGCCTTGTCAATCTTGGCATAGATCTGGCTTGGTCACAGAATGCCTGGGTGGAAGTGAATGGAGGCTGCTCTTCAGTGGTTTCACTCTTTTCCCTCAGATCTCAATGAGTAGTTGTGGGCAATTGCTCCTTTTCTGTTACCCGCACAAATTCTCTGTCACTCACACACTGTAGGGGCACCCACCTTTACCCGTTTTTAGGGTTCAGGCATAACCCTGTTAATTTAAATACCCACCCATACCCAATTCCTAGGGCTCAGGGCGTAACTTCCTGCGGGTTTGCAGGACCTTTTACCAGTGAAAGAGCCTTACACAGTAATATCCTTACTCTGTTTATTAACAATTACCAAGCAAGCAGAATACACACGCTAAGGATACAATGCTATGCTCACCAATCCTGATCAGGCAGGTGAACTTTCCCTGTTGGCCAGGTAAGGTCAGTCTCATCTGGGTTCTGGTTGCTGCACGTCACGGTCGTGCAGAGGATTCTTGGCAGCTCTGGTCTTAGGCTGTGTTTTGGGGGTGAGTTCTTCTTCCAGGTCTTTCTTTCTTATTGGTCCTTCTTTTCCGCTCTGCTGGTCTCCTTCTTGGACCCCGGTTTATATAGTGAAACTTGAGTCCTGCTTAGCTATACCTTAACCAATTACTTTACTAAAATTTTACTAACCAATCCTAACCTATTGTAACATAATTCTCTAACCAATTATATCCCACCACCTTCATTGATTTACATCTAGAAAAATTAATTATACAGCAGACAGAAACAATTAAAGAACCAGACACAGATCATACAGACAAACAATAGGGAAGTGGGGATCATAATGACAAAACAATAAAGAAATGGGGATTTCACAGCCCCAACTATTTATAAGTGATTTCTTGTCAGACAGAATGCATCAAATCAAATTTTTCTTTAACCATCTTAAGATCTGTTTCTTTATCTGGTGATAGTGGGTGCCGTTAGGACTGGGTCTCTTTCTTAACAGCCTGATATTACACTATTTTAATGTAATTTAGATAGAATGTGAGAATGTGACTTTCTGCTACTCAGCTAATAGCCTCTGCTCTTTCAGTCTGGCTGCAGACAAAGGCCATAGGCTTTTAGGCCTTATAATATGGCTACAGACCTTATAATATGCTACAGGAAAAGGGCCTGATCCTTACAGTTTCCTGAAAAGCTCTCAAGTGTAGGGTGCCATGTGGGGCCATTGTCACCCATCTTGTTCAGTGTGTCGATGGGGCAGTGAGGAGGGTCTAGTGAGGAGGCAGGGGGTTTGGTGTTTTCAGTATTCTGATGACATCCCGCTGCAAGTCTTTCTCTCATCTAACTCAGATGATGCAGTTCAGTGCTTCAGCCAGAGCCTAGACTAGATTGTGGCATGAATGGGAGCAAGCTGGCAGAAGCCACAGCCATGCTCAGCAGAGGCACCTCAGCTGGATCCCCCTTTATAAAAGAATAGGGGTGGCTGGCAGGCCATTCTCTGGTGGGCTCTGGTGGGCCTTGCTGCCCCTGCTTGGTTGGAAATAGCTTGAATTGGGTGACTTTCTGGGTATGCTGCAAAGGGCTGAAGATATGCTTCCCAGAACGATAGAGGGTGGAAAGGAGTTTTTGTAAGTGGCCGAGTTCCTGTTGAAATGATTACTTGACTGCTGCTGCTGCTGGTTTGTTAGGGCATGTCAAGCCTTGGATAGGTGCCTTTTTTCAATGATTAATTAAATTGAAATAAAGGAAATTAGCAACATATGATCAGGAATCAAAATATGCACGTTGAGAGAGGTGCTGAAAAGGACCTATGCACTTTACTAGCACTTCCCCGCTTTTTTCATTTGGATGTAATAACGTTTGCTCCAAGTGTGCAAAGATAACAAAGATATTGTGGATCCTGAAAGAAAACAAAGGATACTCAGTAGTACAACCAAGGCATGTGCATCATTGCTGCGCTCAGTTGGGCTTCTTTACACTTAGATTTGCTTTGATACAATTCATTTCAGTAGGCATTGTGTCAAGTCTCACTTACACCAATCTAGAGTCTTTACATAGAGGTAACTGGATGTAACATACACAGAGGAAACAAGGTGTAAGCTAAACTAGTGTTTAAATACTTTTCTCTCATTAAAACAAGGAGTGCTAGTTTTCAACAATTATTCACTGGCACAAAACTTCGGTAATGTAGTGTTAAGGGTCACTGCTGGTGTTTTGCATCCTTCCAAAATGTGAAATGCACCTTTGAAAATCAGGAAATAAAGAGTGAGGTACATAGTCATCAGGTAGCTTGTCTGTGGATGTGAGGGATGTTGACTCCTGCAACACAAGGCTCACAGTTTTAGCAATGAGGAACATTTCTGGAGAAAGAGAGCTGATACAGAAGCTGTGACTTCATCTACTTAACCAGAAGGGAACAAGAGTTCTGTGCAGCAATGAGAGAGGTTTAGGCCAGTTTTCCAGCCACATCCCTCTCTAGGTTGATTCCCCAGCCCTTTTGTCATGACCTACAGTCAACGCCTCATTCACAGAATGTTCACTTGTGCAATACGTGGAAAATGACTTAACAGGTGCATATGGCAAGGAATCCACTGAGAGGACTTTTATTGTTCACTGTCACATGGCTTCCCTTATCTCTACATCCAGGAATAAGAATCTGTCTAGACACCTATTGATGTCAGTGGGAAAAAGAAATAAGGAGTAACTTCCCTCTCAATATTTTTGCCTTTTGTAGATTTTCATGGTGCAATCTTACAGCTGATTGTTGTAGTGATCTCTCCACTGTTCTCATTACAAATCAGATCCTGACAGACCTGGATCTCGGGGAGAACAACCTGGGATATTCAGGTGTGAAGCTGCTGTGTGAAAAACTGAAAGACCAAAATTGCAAGCTCAGAAAAATAAGGTAAGTAACAATTGGCTTCCTTTTAGTGTCTTTTAAAATAATACAATCCTGATTCTAGCTTTTGCTACTAGGATTGCAATATTACAATGGATGCACTACCAACCCTTGATCAGCACCACTGCGCTTCATGGGGAAGAGAAAAGAGAGACATGGCCGTGTTGATCGGCTATCTTTCGGCAGTCCAAAAGTGGGATCATGTCCTAGCTTTTAGTACATGAGGTTCTAACATCAAAATCTGCTCCATTTATATTTTCCTCAGAAAGGCAGATGCAGAACGCAAGCCTGGGATCCTTTCATCATTTAAAATAACCCTCTTCCTTCATTCCTCTCATTTACTGCCATGAGGATAATTAATCCTGGGACACAGCTGGAAGGGAAAAAGAGACTCAAAGAAAGAGAGAGAGAGCAGGGACAAATAGGTCAGGACTGTCTGTCAAGCAGCCCAGTTTCTTCATTCTTTAGTGCAAGCCTGCCCTTCTCTCTAGGCAGCAGCCCTCATGGGTGTTAGCAGCACTGGCAAGTGTAGTTAAGACAGACATCAGGAACATGAAGAGCTTGGTTCAGCATACATGCCAGGCATTTATAAATTGTTGTAATGTTCCTTAGTTCACAAAATTTCAGACAACTAACTTAGTTCCCTGTAAATCCAGCATGGCACTCAGCTACATGTTCTAAATCTACAAGTACAAGAGGATGTTATGAAACAAAATGATGAAAGATGGACTCGGATAAATGGAGATAAGTTCTGTGGAGACTTTGGGCTAGTACAATTATTGATACATTTTTTAAAAAAACACCCCACGAGGCAAAAATGGAATATTAAAGCTGAAAAGTTAAGCTCGTAAAGTTTAGGAAATGCCAGAATTGAAGTTGCTTTTGCAACGTTAATTCAGCCTCCTGGTGCGAAGGCATCGTGATAAAACCTTTAATTATGTGATCACAAATTCTTTTTGTTTTCTACAGGCTCCTTGCCTCATTAAGTGCACAGGATAGATAGTGTTACTGAATGGACAGTCATTCAATATTCCTTGTTAGCGTTCTAATAGACATGTTCAAAGTACATAGTCTTTTTTTAAGATATGGTTTTCTTTTGAGACTTCTTTGAGGAAAAGAGAACAACTTGTAATGTGTGTCTCTCTTGTACATATGTCAGAGTTAAGGCTGTATAATACTTTATGAAGCCTTGTGTGTTGTGGAAGGAGGATAGTAATAGGTAAGAATTGATACATTTTTATACTGATGTTGTTAGAGAAACAAAAGTGTTTATTTTGTTTTTATTTCCTAGCTTTTCAGCACTGGAGAAACATGTTAAAGCAGAGCAACCTTAACTAACAGTGCACACAGATTTTCTTTTTTAAAAAAATCTGGAAATTTCCCTAGTCTTTAAGGTGACTGTATAAATTGGAGATGAAAAATGAAATCAAAATAATATACTGCTTGGTAAAGAATGTTGGCAATACAGCGAACATGGTAGCAGCTGTCTGTGTTCAACAATGGAAAATCTTGACATCTGATTAAGTGTGGCCAGTGTGATTCCTGTAATAGCCATCCAAACATGCCATAAAAGGCACCATGTCATCCATGGAAGGGAGCTATGAAGCCTTGGCAATGGGTATACATTGACTTTGTAGGAAAAAAAACAAGCAAATGATCCTTATTCTTGTTAGCCAGAGGTAGTGCACATGACAACAACCTCTTCTAGAAAAACAGCTGAAAGTGGTTTGCAATATGTTTGCCACCTACTTGAGGAGCTCATATCAGATAATGGTTCACAATTTATTTCTGAGGACTTCCAGACATTTTGATGGCAAAATTCTGTGAAACATGCTAGGTCAGCTACCAGTCACCCAGCATCAAATGGATTGGCAGAGTGTTTTGTGCCGTCACTGAAACAAGGATTACCCCAAAGTGGTAGGAAATTTGCAAAGCCCAAGTGGCAAGGATCTCCTGTTCTCATATAGGTCAACCCCCCAGTCTACCACTCAGAAAACTCCCAGTGGAATTGTTTTTAAGATGTCGGTTATGTACTAGACCAGACTCATTGAGAGCACTCCATGAAAGACAGCAATCAGGGAAAAACCCACAGCATAAACCTCCCACATTTGTCTGCCAAGGGCAGACAATGTTGGTACAAAATTACAGGGGCAGGATGAAGTGGGGGGGGAAAGGTGTGGTAAAGCAAATATTGGGACCACTGAGAGGTAAAAGGAGAGATAACGAAGAGGCACATTGACCAACTATGATAAAAGCAACAGAGAGTCCTGTGGCACCTTTAAGACTAACAGATGTATTGGAGCATAAGCTTTCGTGGGTGAATGCCCATTTCGTAAAGGTGCCACAGGACTCTGTTGCTTTTTACAGATCCAGACTAACACGGCTACGCCTCTGATACTATTATCAGATAGAAGCCCAGCACAGTTATAGCCTCTGAAGTTAGAAAAAAATATTACAGGTGTTGTTAGCCAGAGGAAGAGGGAGGAGTTGGTACCAGACAATGTTAGGGGAGGGAGACAGCAAAAGGTGCTCCTGCTGGGGGTGAGCCAAACTTGCTCTTCCTGACTAGCACCCACCAGCTGAAGGGAAATCACGGACCTCCCAGAAAGGTAAACTTGTGATTTTTTTTTTTTTTACTGTGTTTGTTATTTAGGAATTTATGTGGGGTAGTGAAAACTGTGCTAACATTGCAAGCTATCACTAAGGTTGTAAAAGGTTTCCTTATCCAGCTTGCAGCCTAGAGGGGCTCTGTAGGGAAGCATGTGATCTGGGCCTTGAGCAGCTGATCTGTAAAGAGCCAGCCTAGAGCATGGTGGGGTGAGTTGTGCCTCTCTGCCTTAGGGAGCAGCCTGGCTTCTCTCTCTCTCTCTCTCTCTCTCTCTCGGTTCTTCTGCATTAGGGTTCTGGATTTTAAGAAATGTTACGTTGCCCAATGCTCCAGAAAGAGTATTTTGTTTTTATTTAACTTCTGTTTGCTTGCCATGAGCAGAACACTCTTGTAGGGGAAGTTTAGTTGAACTTTGCTGGGGAACCTCTGTGGAGGGTCTTACGACCTCAGGAAAATAAAGTTTCCCTTATCCATATAGAAGGAGCTTCCCTGGCATGGCCCATCTTTGTTAGTCTGACTCTATGCTCAATAAAGACTGAGTGGTGAAGTGGTATGTGTGTGATGAAGTCCTGGGAGGGCTAAAATTACTTTGGGGAAACACTTTCTTGAGTTTGGCCTATTTCTCAGCTGAATAAATCTGTTTCTGAGTCTTTGTTCTCAGAACTTTGTTTATGGGGGCAGAGTTGAGTTATATGGATAGGCTTATCTGTGCATCTCCACACTTAAAAATGCTGTGGTTTCTTTTAAGTTTAATCATAACTGAATTTCCTGGGTTTTTAGTTGTTATTTTGCAGGGCCGGCTCCAGGGTTTTGGCCGCCCCAAGCAGCCAAAAAAAAAAAAATAGCCGCGATCACGATCTGCAGCGGCAATTCGGTGGAAGGTCCTTCGCTCCGAGTGGGAGTGAGGGACCATCCACCGAATTGCTGCCGAATAGCTGGACCTGCCGCCCCTCTCCGGAGTGGCCGCCCCAAGCACCTGCTTGCCAAGCTGGTGCCTGGAGCCGGCCCTGTTATTTTGTTAGCAAAGTTTTCAGAAGTAACTAAAAGGTAAAAAGAACAGGAATACTTGTGGCACCTTAGAGACTAACAAATTTATTTGAGCATATGCTTTCGTGGGCTACAGCCCACTTCTTCGGATGCATCCAATGAAGTGCGCTGTAGCCCACGAAAGCTTATGCTCCAATAAATTTGTTAGTCTCTAAGGTGCCACAAGTACTCCTGTTCTTTTTGCGGATACAAACTAACACAGCTGCTACTCTAAAAGGTAAAAACGTATCTTTTCTTTCAACTTTAACTCCAGATTAAGGAAATTGTTAGGTTTTAAACACTTTTAAAAATTCTTAACATGAATTGGAAGCCAAATATGCTGTAAAACCCTTTAAACTCCACAGGGCTTTGGGAATGGGAGAACAAGGAGCATGGAACATAAAGTCACTGTGAGGCAGGAAAAGGGGGAACCCTTGGGAGTTCAGTGCTGTAGCTGACTTCTCAGCTGGCCTTTGAGAGCCAACACCCCCCCCCCCCAACCTCTTCCTGCTCCATTCTAACATTTTCGGGACCTTCTTCAGACTGTAGAAGGTCAGTGGGAACCATGATGCTGACGTAGAAATGTATAAGAGGGGTGACTTGAAATAATCAGGTGAAGGGTTGCAGAAGTTGCTGGGGGTAGGGGAAGATAGAGCCATCTGATGTGCTGCAAGTGCAGGCTCAGGTACCAGATGAAGAGATATTACTTACCTTTTAAGGAGGAAGGCCCAGAGATTTTTGCAGAATTTGTGCAATGACTTAATGCCCTCACGTGCATAGTTGCTGAATATGCATTGTCTTTCTTACTGAATGTAATAGTGTGTGTGGTATGTTGCCCTTCAAAGGGACTGTGTACTCAGGGAGCATTTGAATTGGGAGCTGGATCGCTCCTTTTGTATCTAATAAAATTAATACTTTTTTCCTCCCACAGGTTGCGGTATAGCAATATGAGTGAAGAAATGAGGAGAGAGCTGAGCGCTGTGGAAACAATTGTCAAAGTTAGACTCAGGACTCATAGTTTGTCAGACCACTCTGTTTTATTAGCACAGCGCTCTGCTAATACATTCAGATAATGTGAGCCCCCATGCAAGATTCAAACAGTCTTATTTATACAGATAAAAGGGTGCGAACTTAACAAAGGGACAGAGAGCAAAATTGTAAAATTTGCATGGGGGCACAATATGCATATCCTGCTTCCTTATTAACTTTTATCGATCTAAGGCTAATGCTTCACCAATTGCCCTTAAGTGGGGCAATTCATTAAGCAGTTAATGTCTGCTTTCCTGCCACATGGATTGCAGCATTTCTCATTTCTACTTAAAGGTACATACAGCATTCTTTAATTCATTCTATTGCTTTAATATAATTCATTTCACTTTCACAATCCCTCCTTTTGGTCAAGCTTACGCAAAGATCAACAGTTACTGGGTTCCACATATTAATAGTTCTTTATCTCTTCGTTAATCAGTGATATTTTAAAATCATCATATTAGCACTCTGTTTTGGGGCAGTCACTTGGGTGGCATACCTTACAAAATTCTGGATACAACAGGAGATTAGCTGAAAGCATACAAAAATCATTAGGATTTCAAACAGGATAGTCAGGGCTCCCTGAAACAACCAGTTTCCTATGCCAGAGAAATTTAACAGGTTACTTAGCCACTTCCATAAAGAACTTGGCTCTTCATGGGGAAGATATGCGATTTGTTCTAAGTGACTAGCGCGATCTATTACCTTATTGGTGTTGTCAGGTATATACACACAATATTTTTTCTTTTTCCAATGATAGCACAGGTCCCTCCTTTGGCCGCCAGCACTATGTCCAATGCCTGATGGTTTTGGAGGGCCATCTGTCAGATCGCCCGTTTCTTTGGCCAGGGTTTTTTTTTTAAACTCTCTCCAGTTTCATTTGCCATTATTTCAACTACTGCTTGTAACCTTAGGAGCCTTTTTGCATGGTGTTGAAAGATTTTATTGTTTTCACTAAGGTTACTGTAGGGGGAACATGAAATTGATTTTTCTGTTTGATCCTCAGGTCAAGAAAAAATTTCATATCCCCATACCCAGCCCGCCACTTTTTAGTTTTGTTCGAATAATCCCATACACCATTGGCCACAATATGCTGAAGGCAACGGCTTTTTCCCAGATCCAGCCCTGTCCCGTTACACAACCAACACCAATGACCTTTTCCCTCCATCACACTTATCCATTTAGATACATTTATTCCCACTGCTTCCCAAGTGTCATTATTGTTCCATGTTTTGTTAAATGGATGAGGTCCTCCAGTGAGGTCTGGGGAATTGAGTGGGATTGCCAGGACAGGAACACCAGCTTGAGAGTGGGCTGGGATGTGGCTGCAGACCCAGCAATTAGAAATATTAAGGGTCTGAGCTATCCACACTTGCTGCTGGATAAAAGAATTGTCATTGTGGACTCCCCAGACCTTAAGACACCAGCAGCGGAGGAACAGGCGCCACCAGAGGCGCATGTTGGAGGCAAGGCCCTTCCGGTTCTGACAACCTCAACTGAGGGAACCGCAGTCACGGTTTTACATCCACCAGGCAGCAGGCGCTAGGCTCACTACTGCTTCTTTTTGGGCCTTGCTTTAGGTCCTCGTCTGCTTCTGGCAACCCTTACGAGAGCGTAGATGGTAAGGTATTGCAGGCTGTTCCTCTACGTCTTCTTCTGGAGTCAAAATTGACTCTGCGTGGTCCTGAGGTGATTGGTTTGCTGTGGGTGGTGCCTTCTTACACTGCGAAGCATGTATGCACGCTGTGATGCCAGACAGTTTAACAGCCATCTGGATAGTAAGCAGTACCTAATGATTCTTTGATGTCCTTTAAGTCTCTTTACTTCTTCTTCCTTGACTCTGGCTATAACAATGGCCTTCACACCTTATCTTTTCCTGATGCATACATTCCTTATTCACACAGATTGAGAATACAAACAGTAGTATTTTATATCGAGCAAAAAGGCATTGCAAATTAAACCTTGCTAAGTTTTACAATCAATAACCAAGACAATTTACATTGAGACCCAGGCCTTCAATGTTCCTCTAATCTACTTAACATAGACACAATAGAGAATCCTGTTTCTTACTTACTAAACCTTAAAACAAAGAAATGTATATTTAACTATAGGCCTACTTTGTAATACATATAGGAAACCATAGTAGACATTATAACTTATTCTAAAACAAAAGGGTGACCATAATCAGTCATAAGGATTGTTCTGGTCTGTCATTCCTTTCTGCTATTCAAAAAGGGTGGCTGACAGGATGAAATCAAACAATACATTAATTCTTATGGGACATTATAAAATCCTGCTCCTACATATCCCCCTTTTGACACTAAGATATTAATCGCCAGTGTCACTTCTTATTTAGTCCACGTAATAGAAAATACTGGGAGGTGATTTGGGCCTGTGGCTCTAGCTTTGCATACATTTGTTTTATCCAACAGCACATTGCAAACATTCCAATTAAACCCACATACAATTTAAAACCAAAAACAATTAGGGATAGTAACATTAGTATGCCATTAGTTGTGGGAGACCATTCAGAAAATATGTTATACCAATGGTAAGCTGTTATGTCTTTCTGCAGTGGCAATTCTTAACATGTTGCCATTTGCATGTATAATATGAATGGTTCGGTTTCCCACATTGCCTTTTTGTTTGTTTTAGGAACTATGTTACCTTTTTACCTTTTGTAAACACATTACTTACATTACATTTACATTTGTCTATTGGAAGGTTGCTAACACTTCCATTCTTTTAAAACACTTTTTCCCCAAGAATTAACACATACACATAGCCCATTATACAGTACTTTGGTATCATTATTCATTTTATCCCACATATAGGATCCTAGTGAGATGTTTTTACTACAGGGCTTTGGAGCAACAGGCATGGATAATCATACCCACTTTTATTTGTTTTTGTATTAGGTTGTCCTGTAGCTGGTATCAGCTTTTTCTGAAAGACAAAAATAACATTTTTCTACCCCTTTTGGGGTGGCATTCATTATTACTTAAAATATTCCTTTCTTTCACAAATACCCTTGCTGATTGCAGGCAAAACAAGAGGAATTACCTCCATATTTTCCTGTGTTTTTTTGTTCTATAGGCAGGCCAGGTTTTAATGGCTTCTATCTTTTAAGAGTTATGGGGAAATCATCCCACTGTTCAGTCATTAAATCCATGAGGTGATGTACCTCAGTTTTTCCTTTACAGCAGACCAAGTTTACAATGTCTTTCCTGCTGTGTTAAGCTTTAAGTTTGTTCACAGGTAACAGCTGAAAAGCATCATTACCATAAAGGATTTTTTCCCCCCAAAATCATACACACTATACATTGTTACAGGGGTACTTATTAACATTAAATTTATTTTAATTAAAGGTATCTTGTTATACCGTGCCTTTTATTTAGACAATTTGTTTGCTGACCAGGTATGTTCTTTATCTGCAACTTCTTTGTGCTGGCAGTTCTCTCACTTCCTTTATCAGTTAGATAATTTGCATCAACACAGGCTTGACTTTTGGATTCAAAACCATTAGCAGAGCTCAGAGACTCTGTCTTAAAAGGAAACCAATTAACTTTTACCAGAGTTTTGATTACTTTTAACTCTTGCTTCCAAAACACACACAGATCTGAAAAAGAAAACACAGTCTTTTGTGGCTCCTTTGGAGCCCTAATAGGATTTTAATTAAGTAGCATGTTTCGTTTGCATTTCTTTTACCCACTTCTATAATATACACTGCACACGTCTGCACATTCCTTCTATACTTTAACTTTTAAAACATTAGCCATATTAATTTTTACATAAGGTGTAACTGTTTCTTTTGTTCTTACAGAGTTTTATGTACCCTTATCAAAGTGACAGTCTGATTACACAGAGCCATTTTAAGGCTCAGTGTTTCTAACATTGCTTCTTTTTGTTTTGTGCACCTCACCCCTGCTGTTGCTTCAGAGGGCCACTGTCTTTATTCTTTTACTACAGCTTTCATTTGCTATTTTGTTACAAAAACAAACAAACAAACAGAATCCAGAATCTCTCCCTATTCTTCTGATTTTGACTGCCCTGCTACAGTCATGACATGGTCTTTATTTGAAAACATTTAAATTTTGTAAAGAATCAAGTTACCCCTTAAGGGTTAAATACCAAATCTCAAAGCCAACCAACACTGATTATCTGTGTCTGGGAAAAAGGTCTGTCAGTTTTGCAACTTTGAATTAAAGAGTCAAATGGATTTTTAGTGGCATTATAAACAAAACAAAACCAATTTATCTTAAACCTACAAAACAGGAGTTTTACAAACCTCACATATTCCCACAGACAGACGGATACATACACATTTTCTTTTACTTAACATCCCTTTTACACTGCTTTGTTTTTACAAAGCTGTACATAGATTGCATTACCTTTATACATTTGGGGCAGTTAAGTTCCAATAGAACCCCCCCTATGTTCTTTTAGCAAATTTGACTCAATTGTCCATAGTCAAATGATTTTAATTAGATAGTCTCTTTACCTGGATTATTTACAGACATTATTTTGGAAAAGGGCCCATTTTTCCTTCAGAATGGCTGCAAAGAAACCAAGAATTCTTTTAACAAGGTCCTTTTTAACATTTTTACAAGGTTTAACTGTTTAATTCTCTCCAGCCTCTGTAGAGTTAACTTTTCACTCTCTTTCCTTAAATCACTTGTTTATTTCCCAAAATGACACCTTTATTAACTCAGATTTCACCATTTTAAGTATTGTTCCGGGGTTCATACTTGCACTTACTCCTGACACTATGCCCTTAGGGCTTCCAACCTGTTTTTTTTAGTTTCTTTATCTGTTGCTTGCCTGCTTGTCTGGGCCCGATCCTGCTTTTTCCAATGGACCGTTTTTGTGAGTGATATTGTGGTCATTTCACAATTTTGAAAGAAATGCTTAAGGAAAGGGACCAGGAAGGGTGGGGGCTAGTTGAGGAGCCCACCCTCCTTGCTGAATT